CTTCGCAGCCGCCAGCGCCCAGCCCCATGATGGGCGTGGCCTGATGGCACTCGTTTCAGAAAGGCTTTGAAGGGGGCAACTTGGTAGCCCAGTAACCATATTCTCACAAGGGCACCCTTTTTTGGGGGTTAGTCACTCCATATGGGAACCTTGAAACAAAACAAGGGAAAGGGGTGCCACTGGGCTACGAGAAACCTCAACCTTAATGGCAGGAGCCCCCACGCCCAAACCCAAAAGCCTGCCTGACAGGTCTGAGGGGGCTCCAACTTCCAGGGCCTTGGGCACTCCATTTCTTAGCCTTGCCGGTACGCTTCTTCGAGCTGCTTGTCCCCTCACCTATAGCGCAGAGAGAACAGGGTTCATGACAGCTCTGGAGTCCGATCAATGCAGTGCAAAGCGAAGCCCACCTCTTTCATCGTCCGCGCGACTGTCGCGGCATCCTCTGCCTGCGACTCCAGCGCAATGTCTCCCGGTCGGTCCAGGGTTGCCTTTAGCTGCGCCTCCTTCGCCTGCTGCTCACTTCGATCCACAACCTCTGCAGGCTCCTCCTTGGTGCCATCGATGCTGTGGCTGTTGACCGTCGCCTTGCTCTCTGAGTGGTGATGGACCGTCGTCGGAGCACAGCTCCGTGAACACGATCTTGCGCACGAGGGGCGAATTCTTGATCGTCATACGGTCAGTGTCCACCGCGTGGTGGTGGAAGTCCTCGGTGGTCCAAGGCTCCCACTGCTTGAAAGCATCTCAGTCCCCTCTTTGCGCAGAGAGAACAGGGTTCATGACAAGCCCACCTCTTGCATCGTCTGCGCGACTGTCGCGGCATCCTCTGCCTGCGACTCCAGCGCAATGTCTCCCGGTCGGTCAAGGGTTGCCTTTCGCTGCGCCTCCTTCGCCTGCTGCTCACTTCGATCCACAACCTCTGCAGGCTCCTCCTTGGTGCCATCGATGCTGTGGCGCGTGGTGATGGAAGTCCTCGGTGATCCACGGCTCCCACTGCTTGAAAGCATCTCGGTCCCAGTTGCGTGCAGAATCTGCGTTGGAGCCCGTGATCCCTTTTGGGGGGCTCCCAGTGATCATCCAGCTTTGCGAAGTAAAGGTCGGAGTCCACCCAGTGCTGGGCCACCAGCACATGCAAGTCACAGTTGAACTTGTGATACAAGGCTTGGTCGCCACGTGCTCTTCAATCAGCCCGTACTTGGAGGTTCATGGTACTTATTAACCAATCACAACTGCACTTATAACCCACTCATAAGCCTTTTAAGTGCCCTCTGGTTTCAAGTACAGTTCTAAGTACAGTTATAAGTACAGTTATCAGTACAGTTTTCAGTACAGTTATACCTGGTTAACAAGTACCATGAACCTCCAAGTAGTCCACGAGACCACTTCGGGGCGGCGCCCGGCCGCGGCATGGCGCAAGGCGGCGGAGTCGGCGGCGGGGAGGAGGCGAAGGTTGAAACCCTAAACCCTCTCGGAGGTGCTGGGTGGGTATAACCTTTAGAACCGTTTTGGGCACCATAAATCCCCCTAAAACCCAAAGGCTAACCTTTTTCCTGTAGGGAACTCAGCACCTAAGCTGCAGCGGCTTCGGAGTATTCGGGAAGGGGCTACCCCGTACAGTAGGAAATGGAGGCCAAAGAACAAAGTGTGGGGTGTCAAAGATTGGTTTAGGGCTCGCCAACCTCTGAGATACTGCAAAGCATGCGCCCCCTCCCCCATACCTCTTCTAGAGTTTAGGGTCTATAGGGGGCAAGAAGTTTAGGGTTTAGGGTCCGGTGCTGGGCTACAAACCTTCGTTGCTTCTTCGATGTGGCCTGGCCAAGCTTCGGTCAGTCGCGAAGTCCACACCGGCATCGGGCAGGCAACGAGGCGCCGCCGAGCACCATGAGTCGGGAAGTGCTTGCAGGCTTCGGCGGGGTGGGGGAGGCTAGGGGCCCTATAAAACTCAATGGTTATTTTTATGGCTGTATAAGGATTTTTGGGGATGAAGGGTAATAAAAACAAAAAAATGTGTTCAAACCTACCCCTGGAGACTAGCGAGTTCAAGCTTGGTGAGAATATATGAAACAGGGTTTATATCACTGCTTTTGGTGAGTGTATATAAGGTTCCTTTTTAAATCGGTGAGTGTATAGATTGGGTGTCCTTTTAGGGGGTACAAGAAATATGAACCCTACTTCATATAGAGACGTAAGGTCATGAAGGATGGCTTCGTCCTTGCGAGGGGCGAGAACTTGTTGGGGCCAGGTGTATGCCAGGGATACCGACCCAGCCGTCTCAACATAAATCATGAAGGCGGGGAACTCAACGTTGCGTGTGTGCTTGTTTGTAGCAGCGACCCTGCTCTTTGGCTGCGCAAGCAAGGCCGAGCGACAACGGAGCGTGAACATCTCAGCTAAGTCAAGAAAGTGGGTGGAGCACATGGCTGACGAAGGCTGACGCACCTTGCCCTTAAACCCGAATGCCAAGAGCCACAAATCCCAACCTTGTCTGGACAAAGGCACTCAACCAATCCACTCTTGAGCTCTATCTAATCCCTAAACCTCCCTGACTCTGAACCCTAAACCCTAAACCCTAAACCCTAAACCCTAAACCCTGAACCCCAAAAGCCCCTAAAGCTGTCGACTCCTGCAGGAGCTCTGGCCCCCTAAAGCCCCGCCGCGCTGAGGAGGCTAAGGGGTCGCCATAGACGCGCCTTCCGCCGGGGGGGTTTAGGGTTTAGGGTTTAGGGTTTAGGGTTTGGGGTTTAGGGTTTAGGGTTTAGGGTTTAGGGTTTAGGGTTTAGGGTTTAGGGGGGGCTGTGGGGGGGCTTACGTAGGGCTTAGGGTTTCTAGGGTTTATAAGGTTTAGGGCGTTTAGGGGTTTAGGGCTTCAGTTGAGCGGTTCAGGGGTTTAGGACTTCGGACTCCGTTTCGGGTTTAGAGCGTTTTGGGTTTAGGGCCTACTGTAGGGCTTCAGGGGGTCTAGGGTTTAGGGCTTCGGAGAGGGCTTAGGAGACTCAAGGCAGTATAGGCTGGGGCAGCCTCCATCAAACCAATCTGTCCGTCGCTGTGGGCAGGGTTCCCATGTCTCATAGGTTGCCTTGAGCCTCTGCAGAATAAGCATCCTCGCAGGCTTGAATACACCACATTGTTAAATTTGCGGCATATACAGCCCTGTGAGGGGGGGGAGGAGGGATGTTAGTTTGCACCTGTCAAGCGCCCCAGGCGGGGCTACAGGTGTAGGAATTGTTGATGACACCATTCCCAATCACGCCCAACTATATGACGATGCCCTTGGCCGAGCCACAAGAAGCTGGAAGGGTTCTTGAACTCGTCTGGGGAGATGAGCACCTGTCAAGGCATTGGGGTTGGGGGGTCGTGAGGGTTTCATCCGGGCCCTTGAGCCCCACAGCAAGAACACGAAAACCTGTGCTTTTTTTCGGAGGTCATCCTTATAAACCTCCTTGTAGGTATCTTGGGCAACCTTCCAACAGGGTCTTTGAGTTCTTAAGGCATATCTTGTGATCCTCAGCCAGGCAAGCCCCTAAACCGGTGGGACGAGCTTGGGTCCGCGTGTATGCCTTGGAACCGGAACCTTGATCACACCCCCACCCCCCCCCCCCCGCTCCAAAAAATAAAAGAGTAAGAATAGCTACAGCGTCCACAGCAGAGCCTGCGGGGAGTAGTGGTGCAGGTGGAAGTCACCTCCGTTCCGGGCATCCTGCCAAGACTTTGTGCTTTTGGTACCCGCCTCGCCGGACTATTGATGCACCGCAGGTAGAAACACAAATGTGCTTCGTTAAACCGTAAACCCAAAACCGTAAACCCTACTTGGAGGTTCATGGTACTTATTAACTAATAATTGTAACTGTACTTATAAACAATAATACGGCACTTAAAAAGGCTTGTAAGTGGGTTACAAGTACAGTTGTAATTTGTGAATAAGTACCATGAACCTCCAAGTAGGCTTTAGGGTTTTGCTCGTCTGTGCCGTTGGCAAGGTCCAGCAAGCTGGGGTTAAGGGGTCCCGTTTCTGCGTGCTTGCGGGTGTAAGGTGTAAGATGCGTAAGTGCAGAGTCGGAGGCTTCAAGCCGAATCTCCAAACCCTCCATAGTCCCTCAGCCCTGCTCAACCCTGAGCACCGACATGCTCCGAAGCTCTCACAAGGCAAGAAGGCGTCCTTCGCGGACATGGGCGGACCCCCCAGTAGCTCCAGCGCGGTCTGCAAGCACTGGTAGGCCTAAGCTGGCGCTTGAATTGAGTTTGTAGGTCGCCTGGCCTAAGATCCTGTAAAGGCTTGTTGGAAGCGTTCCATTCTAGGGCTCCTATCCCGAAGTTTTGAGAAGGCTGATGGTAGCCGTTGTTATTGACAGGAGGTTCAAGGCAGGTGGTGCTGTACCAACAACCTCCACCCTCCACTGGCCCATTCATGTTTTATAAGCTGAACGCCACATGCTTAACATGCGAAGCACACCTCAGAACCTGCCACCTCAACCCTTGGCTGCACTTAGCAGGGGAGTAATACATTTAACTTTTGGCTGCCTTATTAAGAAACCCAATAAACCCAAAAAGGCTAAGGATCTAAAGTTACAGTACAGCACCACAGAGAACCCACCCACACGGTCCCCGGGCTGCTGCGTTGGCATCTGCAAAGCCTGGGCAGCTGCTTCTTCCAGAGGCTGCGGAACATTCTTCGGGAGGCCTTCGAGGATGTGGCGACTTTCACATATGGCAACACGGACCGGGCTTTTTTTTTTAGCTTCTGGCTGCCAGGGCCCACGCACAACACCTACCCAGTACCCCGCAAGAGGGCCCTTAGAAGGGATGCATTCTGGAGGCTTACAAAAGAAGGCCTATAAAAATGGCCCCATCCTGAGAAAGAGCTGGTAAAAGTGCACTTTGTATGGTCGACTCTGAGGGTGAAAAGGCCGATGAAAGCCCATTGCAGGGTTTCTATGTAGGCCTTATATTATAGAGGGTTTATATACATAATATATACATATATATATATACATGTATATATATAATCATATGTTATCATAGAAAACAGCCGCGCCTTGCCGCTGGAACTGCAGCAGGAGGCTGTCCGCCGTCTGCTGCGCCGCGGCCCGGACATTGGCAGCCTCGAGCTCGCTGATGCGGCTGGACCTGGCAGGTGTCTGCGTTCTGGGTTTTGGCGGGCTCATAGGAGTGTTTACAAGGGCTTATATAGGGTTTGAATATATGTGTATAGAGGGTTTTAAAAATTCTATGTAGGGTTTATATCGGGCTTGCATAGTTCGTGCGTTTAAAGGGTTTAGAGCGTTTGTGGCGGAGAGGGGCTGTTCGGTGGCGTTTTCGGGTAAAAAGAGTCTTCCTAGGTGTTGGCGCATGGCGGGTTGGATGTCGGCTCCCTTGCCTTTGAAAAGCTCAGCCCTAAACCCCTATCAGGGTTTGAAGGTTTTTTTCGCTCCCGCCTAGCCGGTTTAGGGTTTCGGGCCTGTGCGCGGCACTGAGTGACCCCCCAGTCATCTCTGGTCGCTGTGTGAGTCAAATGAGTCCACCGGAACCAACTGGCCGTGACCAACAGCCACAAGTTGGATGCGAGCCGATCTCCGACTTCGACGCCCGCTCCATGTACTTGGTCTCTCACCCATTACAGCACTTGACCCCCCTAAAGCACTCTCTCTCTCTCTCTCTGCCTCTCTACGACTCCCTGTCTCTCTCTCTCTCTCTCTCTCTCTCTATCTCTATCTCTCACTGACTCTCTCTCTCTCTCTCTCGCACTCATACTCACTCGTTCGCTCTCCTTCCCTACTCTCTCCGCATTCTGTACGTGGACTGCACAACTACATTATATCACAACATCCAAAACTCTGCAACATTAAGTGGCTTCCGGTGGCTTTTCGGCTCCGAACCTCCGAGGTCACAACCTCAAGGAGTCTTTAAATCGGAACGACCCTCGGGAGGCAGGGCACCTCGGACTCTTCAGCCCCTCCACGAGCTTCTGCTTCAAGGGAGGCGGGGAGTCCTCTCGGCACGTCCTGCGCCGGCAAAAGGAGGGTGAAACTCTCGGCGAGTTGCTAGACTCGCAAGGCCTCGAAAACGGGACGTCAAGTTCCAGTGCTTTGGTACATGGCCCGTAAACCCCAAACCCCAAACCCTGTTGAACCCGGACTGTCTGAGGCTCGTAAACCCTAAACCCTAACCTCCTCAACACCCTCGACCCCGATGTCATGATCCCGTCCTCGGTGCTGGGCAACGTTGCGGCTCTGCGGGGGGGTCCTCGACGGAAAGGAAACTCAGGGGGCTTCGCAACATCCCTTCATATCAAGGCCGTGGGCTTGGAACCCTAAACCCAAGCCCTGAACCTTAAACCCTAAACCTTCGATCCTACTCAGGGATCCGAAAAGGATTGAGGGGATCTCTCTGGGATTCAAGGCCTAGAGCAGAGGGGACGCCTAGACCCCTACAAACCAGGGGTCCAAGAGGCGCCAAGGCCCTCTGGAGACGAAGCAACTAGAGAATGGTTTAGGGTTTAGGGTTTAGGGTTTAGGGTAGGAGGCCCTCATTACAATTTTTGAGGGGCCGGTTTCTTATCTGATGGGGGCCTCGAGGGGCCTGTAGAACTCTGCGAGAAATCCTAAACCCTCAGCCCCGACCACCCCGACCCTAAGCTCTAATATAGGTCGGAATGCTTGCTAAAAGTTCGGAATACTTACGAATAGTATTCCCTCATGGTGTCTATATAAACATACTGAATACTGTAAGAGCCCCCAAAGCCCTACTCTAATTTTCTATGGCCCCTATTCTGCAATCCCTAGAAAGAAACGTGGGAGCCACACCCCAGGGGCTCCTCCTCCGTCAATGGCTCGCCACCTGTTCTGCTGCCAGTCTCACTGGGCTTCGGGCTGAGGATGGGCACTTGAGGGTTTAGTTTCAAGTCTTTGTGTTTAACCCTAAACCCTAAACCCTAAATGTTTCTTTTCATATCGATTTCGAGGCGATACCTGCGTTTCACAAGGGGGGCCCACGGCCATGGAGTGCAGCCAGAATTAATTCGGAGTCGTGGGTTTCAAAGACTAAACGGGCGAGGGGAGAGGGGCTCCTGGCCCTGCACCTGTCTTAGGGTACCTAATTAAAAAGAATGCGGAACAAACACGCCTAAGCCCTCTGGTGCCCTCGAACCTTACGAAGGCCCGCCTATAAAACGGAAACCCGGGAAGCCAATGGGTTCCGAAATCCACCCTGACCCTTAAATCGCTTAGGCCCCCCTAGGGTTTAGGGTTTAGGGTTTAGGGTTTAGGGTTAGGGCCTGGTTCTGTCACCGGCTCCGCTGCAGAGGCAAAGGCTGCCGAGCTCATCGGCTCGGAGAGCGGCTCGGGAAAGGCCGCCTCTCTTTACAGGGTTGTTAACGGTTTAGGGTTTATAGGGTTAAGGGTTAAGGGTTAAGGGTTTAGGGTTTATAGGGTTTAGGGTTTTAGGGTTTAGGGTTTAGGGTTTGAAGTTTAGGGGTTAAGGGAGGCGGTTTATGGGGGGGTAGGTACCGAGGAAACCTTAAGGAAGCTTAGCGAGTAGGTGCTGTTTGTGCACGTAACGAACCTACTTCATGGTTGGGATAATATTAAAAATTTAAGTTTCTATTCCTTCTTGGATTTAAGTACCCTTAAAAGTGCAAAATGGTACCCAACTATGACAAAGGAACCGCCCTCCCCCCTCAGTGTGCAGAAGCCCCACTGTGGGCTGCAAAAATCACCCCTCCAGAAAACAAACCCGCCAATCGAATCCCCCGCAAAAACCCTAAAACCGCACCAGGCATGACTACACATAACACCTTTCCAGCCACCTTTTGAGCAGTGGACTTTTGGGCTGGCGGCACACGACATGCAACCCCCCCTACCCAAAACACCTGAAACGTAAACATGCGCTTATGGAGGACATTCTGAGGACATCTCTGAAGGCATCTTGATGCTTTTTGCTTCGCCACCCGCACTGCACGCGCCACCAGGGTTTCGGGGAGAGGAGTTGAGGGCCCTGAAGCCACCACCCTGCCTCCTCGCCCTTGAGCAGCCCAGGCTCCAAGGGGCGCTCTAGCCGGGTGAGGGCGCGCTCCTCGCTGCTCCGGCGCCTTGCGCCAAAGGGCATCCCAGGGGGCTTCGAGGGTTTACGGGGTGTTCGTGTTCAGGGCTTCCCCAGTATTCAGGGGGGGGAGGGGCTATGGGGCTCAATCGTTCACACTGGGGAGAGGCCAGGTGAGGTCCAGCCACTTCTGACGACCGCAGTTTGGGAGTTTTGGGGGTGTGTGAGTTTGGGGAGTTTTCTTTTTGGCCACCCGCCAAGTAGACTGGTGACTGGCCACGCTGCGGGGAAAATTTTCGGACGCTGGATGACTAAAACATACCGCTTTAGGGCTTGTGTTTAGGGCTTCGGGAGGCTTAGGTTTAAGGACTTAAGGAAGATAAAGGGAGTTTTTATGTTGTGCCGAACTGCGCTCGGCCCCCTGCTAGAGCGCAATATTGGGGTCGGAATAAATACTTATGGAATTCCCTTATACGGCCCCCATGTAAGTATTCTAGAAAAAGCCCCCGAAGCCCAATTCCCACTACTAAGGGTTTGGGGTTTCCCTTTTTTCCAACCAGGACTGAAGGTGTAAATCCTAAGCCCTTTTCGAAACAGGCGTGCCACTTCGCCCGGAGTTCCTAAACCCTAAACCCTAAACCCCAAACCCTTTTGAATAAACCCTAAACCCTTTGTTACAGTTTGGGATGTAGGGGGCTGAAACTTCTCCTGAAACCTGCTGGCCTCAAGATGGAACCGCAGCTCTTGGTGCTGCCAAGGTAGATGCCTGGTCTTCAAGGCAGTATGCTACGGCGGTTTAGGGTTTAGGGTTTAGGTAGAGTTTAGGGTTCAGGGTTCAGGGTTCAGGGTTCAGGGTTTAGGTGCGGATTCGCGGCAAACGAGGAGCTACAATTTCCCAAAGGCTCTGATGATAACCTTGCAAGGTATGCAGACGAAACTTCAAGCCTGGACTTTCCGTTGAAGAAGCTCCGTCCCTGCATAAACCTGACTCTCTCTTTTGAAGCCTCCAGGGAAGCCGTTTGCCAGAGCGAAAAGTCAAAAACACCATGCCCGACAATGGCAAAGACACCCTCTTTCTCCCCCTCCGCGGCCCTAAACCCTAAACCCTAAACCCTAAGCCCTAAACCCTAAACCCTAAACCCTACATGAATCACCTCTGCTAGCTCAGCGCTTTTGCTCAGGGTCCCTCCCTGTAAACACCACACCCCGGATGCCTGGGGTCTTCCCATAGGCGGCACCGCGCTTCGACATCTCAACTAAGAGCCCGTGGCCTGCCAGGACATGTTCTTCTGCTTGGGCCCCCCAAAATCCCCCCAAAGGCAAAATTATTCGGTTTAGGGTTTAGGGTTTAGGGTTTAGGGTTTAGGGTTTAGGGTTTAGGGTTTAGGGTTTAGGGTTTAGGGTTTAGGGTTTAGGGTTTAGGGTTTAGGGTTTAGGGTTTAGGGTTTAGGGTAGGATCCTCTAAGCCCAAGGAAAGGGAAAGCGGGGCACGCTCCAAGTATTTCCTCGTTTTGGAACCTTCGGGAAAGCTCAGACTGAGGCTTCAGGGTTCGGAGGGCTGGTCCGGGCGAACGACCGATTGTTCCGGCCTGGGCCCAAGAAATCCTCTTTGGTAGAATACAAGGATGCCCTTTATGGTGGGGCTTATAAGGCAGACAACCTAAAGCCAAAAGAAGGAATGATAAAGCACAAGGCCCTCAATGGACTTCTTGGCACCCGCTTAAGAGCCCTGGGCTTTAGGGTTGAAGGATGTTTTGCCACCCCACTAGCCACAGCGTGTAGGGTTTAGGGTTTAGGACCCTAAGCCCGACACCGCAACTCCTCGCAAGAGCTAAGCTGCGGACCCTCTCCCAAAGCCTAAGGCTTGTGCAAGCTTGCCGGAGAAACGTCGAACGTACTCCCTGGGCCAGGACCCTGTAAGCCCCAAAGCTAAACCCCTGAACTGAATCACTAAATCCTAAACCCCAAACTCCAAGCCCAACAGCAATTCTAAACCCAGAACCCCAACCGCAACCCTTTTTTGCAACTGAAGCGCTAGACTCTAAACCCTAAACCCTCAACAGCAACCCTAAACCCTGAGCCCCCAGCAGCACAAACACGTCAAGGCCAGCACAATCGCCCTCCCGGCCTCCCAGCTCAGCTCCATGCAGTGCCTGGCTGTGGTTGCAGGGTTGACAAGAATTTCCCAGAGCTTCGGAGCCTAAACCCTAAACCCTAAACACAAGGAAAGTTGGGAATTTTGGATTTTAGGGGTTTCAGGTGGGGGTTGACAGGACCAGAGAATTCGAAAATCCACTCTCGCGACCGGCCTATGTCGGTTTTGCTTTTTGCCACCTCGCTAGTGACTGCTCCACGGGGCTTCTGACGAGCCGAGCTCCAAATTCACAAGAGGTTCAGGGTACCAAGCAAAGGGCCTGACTCTAGTTTAGCAGATCCGCTGGGTCGGGTTTTCTCTTTCCCACACGAGTCGGCTCTCTTTTGCATGAGTCGGGTTTAGGGTTCAGGGTTTTGATCGGTCTTGATGACTTTAGAGAGGTATTCGGGTCTCTCGTGACCGTGTGCTTGTAGACTTGTAGAGATTGCGGTGAAGAGAGTACAATGGTCTTATCACATCCCCATAAACCCTGAATCCCTAAAAACAGCCCAAAATCCTAAAACCCAATGCCTCAGGGACTGGCTGACATACTAAACCCTAAACCCTAACCCTAAACCCTAAACCCTAAACCCTAAACCCTAAACCCTAAGGGACTGGCTGAACTGCGTTGTCTCTCAAAAGTCCCATGGGCCGATGGGCCGGTCCCCATGGGGCTGGTGGCCTAAACCCTTTTAACCCTAAACCCTAAACCCTAAACCCTAAACCCTAACCCTAGACCCTAAACCCTAAACCCGAAACCCGAAGCCCTACTAAACCCTAAACACCAAACCCTCCCGCCTGGATGCAGTCTTTCGCCTGCGCCATGCTGATCATGGTGACCTTGCATGGCTCATGCAGCTTGGGATGCTCCCCCTGATGCTAACAGGCGAGTAGGCATTTGTAGTACCCCCTATCATAAATCCCGATGAAGGACTGTCAGTACAAGGGGGGAACATCCCAACACGCAGCCCTAAGCCTCCTATTTGCCTAAGAGCCCCCCACAAAAAAATAGAAGCATATCCTTCCTTATAAGGGTAATATAGGGATTGTCGTCTTGTATTCTTCCTTATAAGGGTAAATATAGGGATTGTTGTCTTCCATTTTTTTGGGGGTTCTTAAGCAAGGAGTAGAAACCCAAAACGGTCCTCAACTTACGCAAGCCAGCTTTCTTTAGCAGGCCACGGCTTCTTGAGAGAAACAGTGCCGGAGCCTTGCTGGAGCTCTTTAGCTCTTTTTTTCCTAAGGCCCTCTGAGACTTGAGATCAGGACTGTGGGATTTTGGGATGTTGGGTTCCCTAAACCCTAAACCCTAAACCCTAAACCCTAAACCCTAAACCCTAAACCCTAAACCCTAAACCCTAAACCCTAAACCCTAAACCCTAAACCGGGTTTCAGGGTAGGCTTCGCCGACGCAGGATCTTGTCACCAAGGCTGTGTAAGGTCTGAGGCCGCCACGAAGGCGTAGCCTTTGTGCCGCCTTGTGGCGGGGTCGCAGGGTATCTGCACATTTGCGACCTGCCCGTAGCTCCTGCGGCATTTGGGATTTCGGGGCTGGAGGTCTCCTGGATTGCCAGGGATTAAGGTTGGGATGTTCCCCTTTATACTAATAGTCCTTAATCGGGATTACAGTACCCCGTATTTTAATCCCTACTGAGGACTGCTAGTAAAATAAGGCGGAACATCCCAAGATAAGGTTCTGAAAATGTTTACATGTGCTTGCAAACGCAGCTCTGAACTCCTAATGGGAGGAGATTTGGGGCTTCCCAGTTCAGCGTGCTTGCAGCAGTGTCCTGGGGCAGCTAAGAGCGAACCTTTGGGACTTTACAGGAACGGTGCCACACCAAAAAAAGGCTAAACTGCGATTTGCCCACCAATTCGGCATTGAGGGCGTGTTTCAGTGCTTCTGTTTTGCTACTTTTCTGATGTTCCCTGAAGATCAAAGGGGATGATTAAGAGGATTCGCCGCGCAGTCCTGAAGAGCTTCAGCAGGTCCTGGCGACGGCAGGTTCTACTTTGGGCTAGACTCCCCTTAGCACCCTTAATAAAAATGATATGTTGAATATCCTCTTGGGTCTTGCATAAACAGAAATGAACAATAATTCCCATACTCCCCTTAGAACCCGTAATAAAAATAGTATGTTGAATATCCTCTTGGGTCTTGCATAAACAGAAATGAACCATAATTCCCCAGCAGGATATAGTGGGGCTCTCAGGGGTTGTGTTGCAGGCACCGGTCTCTGGCAGGGTGCGGTGTAGGGCTTAGTTTGGGACGTTCTCCCTTATAAGGCCTTTTCCTAACAGTCCTTACTAGGCAGCTTCATAGGGATTATCGTACCCCCTATTCGAATCCCTATGAAGGACTGCTAGTGTAAGGGGGAACATCCCAAGGCTTAGTGTTGCTTCAGAGCTGCTTTTCGGACTCCAGGCACCCACTCGGTTCGCCTCTGTGGCGCAAAGGTTGGTGTTGAAGCGCTCACGACCGACCGACTGTGCTTCAGATCAGGCACTACTTTTCTGGACTTTGCTGCCCCTAAATCCTTTTTGCGCCAGGACTCTCTAATGTGCCTGACCGTAGCCCTAAACAAACAAACACTCAAAGATAGGGCTCAATCAGGAACTCACAAGCCGGACGCTTCGTCTGCACTAGACATGCAAGCACGATGCTACAGCTGCCCCGGTGGTGCGAACATGTGCTAAGCCCTCGTTTAACCCCCTAAATCCTCCACCGTAAACTTGCCTCTCGGGCTTCTCTCGGGTCCTAGAATCCCTTTGATTCAGGACTGTTTTTCCCAACCCAATGGCCCTCCTCCTTCTGGCACTCCGGCGGGATGCCACGAACCCAGAGGCAGTTGCCATCGTTGAACGCCATGGTCCGGCGGCACGGTGGGCTTCTGGAGCTTCAGGGCTTTATGGGGCTCAGGGTTTCATTAGGGTTTCAGGGGTTTCAGGGGCTGCAGAGGGCTGTTGGGGGCTGCAGAGGGCTTATGGGTTCTTTGTGGTGGAAAGTGGTGTTGGTGTCGAGGTTGGTTCGCGCGCAAGTGTGCAAAGGGTGGCAAGCCTGTGTCTATGGCACGATGTGTTCGCCGAGGGCCCGTGGCTTGGAGATTTCAAGCTGTCTTCCTGAGCAAGAGCCGAGCTTGAGCCCAAAGACCGCGAACAACTTGAACCTTCAGCCTTCTGCATCCAGATAATTCAGGGTGGAGGGTGCCGTGATGCCAACAGGATTCGTGTGCGAGTCGTTCAAGGTCTTAACTGGGGCCCTGCGGCGGTATCTCCTCCTGAAACCTTATAAGCCCTACACCCTAACCTGAGGGTTATAAGGTGCAAGTGCTGGCGACCGGTCCGCACCAAGAATGCTAACCTTCCCCCGCCCCTCCCCAACCCCAGCATGTAGGGTATTCTTGAAGAAGCCATCGCCTACTTTGTGCAGGCTAGCACGACATCAACCCCTTATAGTCTTATAGGGTTCTTACGGTATCCTACACAAGATTCTTAAGGCAGAGCTCAACCTGGCATCTCCCCTACTCCACCTCCGCCGGTGCAAACATTACGGCAGAGATCGGGCACGCTGCTGCCTTGACCATCCCCCTTCTTCATGCAGCAGAAACGGCAGGAACTTCGAGCCCACACCTTGGGATGTCCCCCCCTTATGCTAACAGTCCTTAGTCGGGATTCTAGTACCGGCGCGCGGGGTACATCGACGGCATAGCCCTGACTATCATCCCCTACTAAGGACTGCTAGTGTAGGGGGGAACATCCCTAACCCCTAAACCCTAAACCCTAAACCCTAAACCAAGCCCTGCTGATGCCTTTTTCCTGGGCACGCAGAAGACAAGGCTGCTGTGCCGGCTGGCCTTCGCCCCCCAGGAACTGGACCCTCAGCAGGAGCACGGGGACTCTCCACTCTTTTGAAGTAGCCTGAAAGGGTTTAGGGTTCAGTTTAGGGTTTAGGGTTTAGGGTTTAGGGCTTAGGGTTTAGGGTTTAGGGCTTAGGGTTTAGGGTAGGCTAAACAAAACCGGCAGAACAGCTGCTGGACCAGACCTCGGGTTTGTCCGTCGCAGCTTGGTGACGCCACGACCTGTGCAGCAGAAGAATCCCCCCCTGGAAACCCAGAAAGTGTACGGACTAGCCAAAAGCCACGCTTTTTGGCACCGCATGGCCGCATGGTCTCGTAATTCATCAGAAATCCGCCGAGGCCTCGGGCCGAAGGTGTATAGGTTGTGAGAACCCCCCCCCCCCCCCCCCCCCCCTGCCCCCCCTGCCCCGCCCCTTGCCTGCCCCGACCCCCTCCCCCCCCTTTGCTTGAGGGTTTGGCTTGAACCTTGAACCCTAAACCCAAAAACACGAAACCCCAAACCGTGAACCTTGAGCCCTAAGCCCACTAACCCTCAACCCCAAAACCCCAAACCATAAACCATAAACCCGGAACCCTCAACCCTAAACCCTAAATCCAACCCTTATATTGCTTGGGGTCCAGCGACTTGGGCGCTGCAGAATCACCATGCTCACGCGGATGCGCTGGGCCGGGCCGAGGCGGGTCGCGTAGCCTTAAACATAAATCAATAAGTATGTGTATATATAAATATATAGATAAATATATCTATAGATATATATATATATATAATCAGGGCGCGCCCGCCCTCCCCCTGTGGTGTGGTTGGGGTGTTGGGGTTGGTTTAGGGTTTACGGTCCCCGCCCCCACCCCCCTACCCCCCGGCCCCTAATCCCCTAATGTGGTTGGGGGTGTTGGGGTCGAAGTTTAAGGTCGAAGGTTTGGGGTTTAGTTTGTCATGATGCTTTGGATTGGATTGCGGGCGTCGATGCTGCTGGGGCCGGCTCTTGCTGACGAAGTACACAAGCTACTTACTGGTGCTTAAGGGAGAGTGGAAGAGTGAATATAGGGACTCTTATAAAGGTATTATATAGGGACTACTATAGGGTTTCACTCTTCCACTCTCCCTTAAGCACCAGTAAGGCTCAAGTCGTAAGAATCTGTTGCATCTTCGTTCCGACAGATAGCGCGCGACTATTGAAGGCCACTCGCACTTCTTACGAGCTTACGATGATGTCCATTTTTCCATGGGTCAAAGCGAGCTGACTACCAGCACCCCCCAAACTACCCTTTAACCATAATAGTAGGGTATATAAGTCCCCTTTATTGAAGGGTAGTTGGGGGTTGCAGGTTTTTGCCCATCATCTACGCAACCGCAGCTGAGCACGGTTGCGCATCTCGGAGCCCTCCAAAACTCGGCCACGCTACTCAAAGCGAGTTGGATGGCCTACCCGAAAGCCTAAGCCCAAAAGAATAAACCAAAGCGGTTTGGGGTTTAGGGTTTATGGAATCCACCCCGAAACCCTAATGAAGCCTGTCAGAAACACGCGCGCCTTCACCAGGGACACTTGGTCTTCACCGTGGCGCCTAACAGCGCACCCACTGGGCTGTGATCCTGATGCCCAGAAGAACCCATGTTGGAGCACAGCCCTGGATCCGCCAAAACTCCTAAGGGTCGTTGCATGGTCCCTTAGTATGGGCCCCTTCAAGGGTACCCCCTTATTTGCCCCTTGTCTACCCCATACAAATCAGGGGCCCATACCCTCAGAACTCTTTAACGGAGGTAAGGGACCATGTTAAGGGCCCATGAGACTACCCTCGGAAAACTAATTACACATGATCGGGGCTTAAGCTTTGGGATGCGCTAAACCCCAAAACGAACGCCACGTACGCTATGATCATGGGTATTTGCAGGTCCGCCCGCTTTCTTAAAAACGGGACTGCTGCAGGGCTCCCGCGAGATGAACCCCTTAAGACCCTTTTGAACCAGGTCTCACGCCTTAAGACCCTAAGACCCCTCCTCCCTCCTCCCTAAACCCCAAACCCTAAACCCTAGACCCTACACCGCCCTTAAGACCCGTACGAAGCCCCCCCGAGCGGTCCGAGGGTTGAGAGGCGCAGGGCAAGCCGGAAGCCACCTGAAAGGCATGGAGCTTGGGGCTGTAAATCCCCGAAACCCTACATCCTAAACCACAGAAAACCTGAATCCTAAGCCCTTTTTACCCAGACTCCTGAATCCTACGCCCTAAACCATGAACTAGATCAGGGCGAGGTTTCGAAGGCAGTGGGCGAGGACCCTATTAGGGTCCGTTTTGCATCCGGGTCTCCTTCCTGCCGGGAACTACTGAGAACCGGACACTGCATCTAGTCTCTATCCGCCATGTTGGCTCCGCTATACACTGCCGTAGGCCACCCTACTCCCTTTTGTAGGCCTCCCGAAACCCTAAACCCTAAACCCCAAACCCTAATAACGAAACCCCTCGCAGTATTGAACCTCGAAGCCCATGGAAGCCCTAAAGTCAGACTGCGCACGCCGAGCCTCCTCCTCGGTCAGGTCCCCAGTGCAGGCAAAGGCCTCCCCAACGACTTGAAGAGGGCTTGTGTTTTCTCACCAGTTCCGCATGCGTTTACGGGGTAGAGGTCAGATTGTACAATGGCCAAGTTCAGGTGATGGTTCAGGGGTTAGGGCCGGTTAGGGTTTAGGGTTTCGGGTTCATGGTTTGGGATTTGGACTTTCGGGGCTGTAGGTATTTCGTGCTATAAGTCTTTCTAGGACGTGGCTTTTGGGGGCTTAGGTTTTAGGATGTAGCTTTCAACACACACACACACCATGTAGTTAAGGTATAGGGTTTACGAATGAATAGGTGCCTACTCAAGACAAACACTTATAAACCCTAATCAACACCCTCCCACCCCCCCACTCCACCACCCCCCCGTGCCCGTCTTCCTGAATCCTGCGGCTGCAGAAAATGTGATCCAGGCGCATGCTGCGACCTGGCAGCAGAAGCGGAACAAGCCAGACTCCCCTTCTTGCCCTAAACCCTAAAACCTTTAAACGAGAGCCGCCATAAGAAGAAACATCCCTTCCAGAAATCTTAGGATGTCATCCCAGGGTGGCAGGAGCCAACTCGCATACCCTAAGCCCTAAACCCTGAGCTCTAAACCACAAACCAACGCAAGCTTAGAAGGGGGCGGCTTAAGGGGGGCCAGGAAGCTAAACCGTAAACCCTAAACCCGAAACCCTAAACCCTAAACCCGAAAAAATCCGTCAGGGAAGGTGCAAGCCAAGGGGACTGCGCTTCCTTCGTAGACTCAAGTCAAGGCACCCCATGGTCCAACTAAAAACCGGAACCACCCAGGCAAGCCATCGCACGCCCAGAGAAAGGTGCGTGAATCATGGGGAACCCTAAGCCCAAAACCCTAAACCCCAAACCCAAAACCCTAAACCCTAAACCCTCAACCCTAAACCTCCCGAACCCTAAACATGCTTTTCGGCGTCCCCGCCCCTGCGTGGCCTTGCCTGGCTCGGCCCAAGAGCTGCCTGTCGGAACCTGGTTTGGCTTTGGGGGGGTTTAGGCCTTAAACCCTGAACCCTTTAAACCCTAAACCCTAAACTCTTTTTGCAACTGGACTGCGAACAGCTGCCAGGAAAAGACACGACCCCCAGTCCCTAAACCTAAACCTTAAGCCCTAGGCCCTAAACCCTAGCCCTAAACCCTAAACTCTGCAGTTTAGGGCGCAGGAGATTTATGTTGTTTAGGGTTTAGGGTTTGGGGTCTAGCCCTGTATAGATGCCCTTCAAACCCCGAACCCCAACCAAAAAAGGCCTAAACGTGCGAATCAAACACAAGGGGATTTCCTCAACCCACCGTCAAGGATGCAACTCAGGCAGCAACCCCCCCCCCCCTAAACCCTAAACCGCAAACCCTAAACCCTAACCCTCAGTACCTTGACGAAGCAGAAGAAGCAGAGGAACCCCAAGCCGTAAGCCCACCCACCCCCCATTTGAAGAGGGCTCCATCTCAATCGTGTCGTT